TATTCCATTGAACTCTATTGAGTTCAATGCATCGTAGAAAAATTAATGTAGAGTTGTATAGTAAATAAAATATGATGTGTCAATCCATTAAACTCTAATAAGTTTAATGCATTATGGATGCCCTTAGTTGTCTTGTCTAAAAGTTTTATATATTATACCTCTAAACCAATTTATTTTTGAAGTTTTAGTTTCGGATTCTAGTTAATTATGCTCGTCTTCCTCCCCTGAAAGAGCTTGGGCTGAAACTAAATTGACATCCATGACATTTTCGATGAAACCTATTGATTCCTGGACCAATCCAACGCTTCTTTGTAGCCTCACCCTCTCTGGTGATAGTTCCTCCATAATCTTTTCTACACCACCACCATGCAACATCACCTCATTCACTATCTCCTTTTGTATCTCCACATTCACCAATTTTTGTATCATAAACCGAATCCGAAGCACCATGCAATCCACTACTCGTTTCAAAACAATTTTCCAGTAGGCTGTCATCCTCATTTTTAATTCAAACGCTTGATCCCTTGTATTTTCATGTACATCAAACAAATGGTCAACAAAAATCCTGCCTTGACCTTCAATATATATTTCTTCTTGAAAATCGTTAGTCGCGAGCATAAACTCATCACGATTGCCCATTAACTTGTTCCAAGAAGCTATAAAATCAGGGTCACATGTATAATCTGTGGTCTTCTCCATCTCCATGTGAAAACTCAAGCTTCATTTTCTCCATCACGTTATGAGTCGCTTTCCTCATGGAGGAGAGTAGTTTTGGATAACTTACGTAATGATCAATCAAGACTCTAACACAAACGGTTTCAAGATAACCACATACTTCTTTTACGACGAGAAGTGGCAAAGTATAGATATTGTTCACTTTTTTCCTAAGCAAACATGAATGAGGAGGGAAATTAGACGAAAAGATCCCATTACTTTCCTCTACAACTTTTACCTCCTCAACAAGGAAACTTTCAGAGAATTTGTCACTCAAGTGAAGTTTTTTCGAAAACCGATCCAACATTTCAACTAACCGAGCATTGAAATGCATTTGTTTATCGTCCTCATACTCATTATAGTCGCCTTGTATCAACATCTTTTGAAGAGTTTCCTTCAAGGACCCAATAACATGCATGAAAGTAGCCATAGCTTCGGGAACACTCATGAGATTGTTGGGTAATTGGTTGAGCTCCAAATTCAAAGCGTTGAGCCCCTCATTGATCTTCTTGAGAATGTCCGGAAGACATTTCAATATGAATGCCAATTGCATCTGAACAAGCTTATTTGCCAAGGCGGGAATACCCAACATGGACTTTTCACTCTCGGGCAACCCATTCACACGATGGAGACGTTCAAAGAGTGTGGATTCTTCGATTCTAGCTTTATTGTGGGTTTCATCATTAATTCTGTTTCTAACATAGATGTATCGGTAGCGATCAATGTTGTATTTATTTATCCCAACAGCGTCAAAGACATCACCATATCGGACTTGGTCACATTTGGCAACCACACCCAGCGTCCTCTCTTCTTTGTAGTCCATACTTCGTTTCCAATTTGAGAGATCACTGGTGGCAGATGCAACATTTAAAATAATATTATCCTCGGGCATTTCGAACTCCATAGTAATACCTAAAACAATATAAACGACATGTGCCCAAATTAACACAAACTTAAATGAATTAAAGGTTGTTTTTTGCCTTTCTTTTAAGTTACCTTAATTCTAGCAATAGCATTTATAATTTCATTAGGTATAGATATCCACGTTACACTATTGTTATGTACATGTGTATAATTCTTTAGTAGTATGTGCATATTGCAATTAATAATATCATCATGAATTAATCATCCATTCAAGTGTTGGAGATGAGATATAAGTCATATAACATATGTTGACGATATATATAGATATATAATGATAAACTGATTGACATTGCCATCTACAAAAAATACAAAATATTTAAAACATTACTAAAGGAAGAAAAAATACCCATTGTTTGTTCCGAATTATCTCGATGTATTCCGGGCAAATCGATTATGGTGAGATCCGGAATATCTCTCTTCTTCATCAACAACGTTAAAGGAACATTTCCTATCTTTTTACCTTCCCCAACAACCTCCATGGTAGCGTTATTAATGGCTTCGGATATTAGCATTTCGTTAATGATACGAACCGACTTTTTCTTATACTTTAGTAGGAATTCTGTGACAGGATACGGATGGTTTTGAAGCTTTATTATTAGAGGTACCCTTGTACAGGTTTCTTGTGCACATGGCAAACTTATGCCGATGAGTGACTCTATAAGGCTAGATTTCCCTGAGTCACGATTCCCGACAACAACAATGGTGGGGACAGAGATGCCTTCATTGATGACTTTAAGGTTGAGGAGCTTGTCTATGGTTTCTTTAATGGGACGTAACTTGTCATTCCAAGATGAAAAAAGAGGTGGAAGGTATGATGTGGGATTGTGGAGAAGAAGATGGTCGGCTATTGTGTCGTCGTCATCGTCGTTATCATTCATTGCTTGAACAGATGCATTGGAGGGAGAGAGGAGATGCATCGGGAGCTAGACGTAAGGAAATCTTCACTCGTAAACCAGAAAAAAATAAACAAAGTATTCGGATGTGATTGGACTTACTTTTTCAAAGCGAATATCACTAAGGAAATGTGATAATTACCGAATTTATCATTATTAAATTAAGAGGAAAAAACAAATTTTCATATATTTGACAAAATTTAATGACTTTGAACAAATGGAAATCGTCAGAAAAGTCTAAATACTTTTGGAAAAGTTTTATTTTAGTCTTTTTTTTTTAATAAAAAAGTCTCGATTATTTGATTTTACACACTAATGTCATTTCCTATTAAAATAAAAAAAAAATTGTTAATTTGAGTCAAAATGAAATAATTATGACTTTTATGTTCAATTTTTTTTAGGAGGACTAAAATGAAACTTTTCCAAAAATATTGAATTTTTCTAACAATTTCCCATCGACCAAAAGAGTCCGGGTTTTTGCATCCTTTCATATGCAATGGGCCGGGTTTACTGTGAAGATTTGATAGATCTAAAACCACATTGTATCTTATTTTTTAAAATATACTAAAACATCATCAACTTATTGTTTTGTACTTCATTTTAAATTGTAAGTTCATCTTTTTTTGTTGCATGTTTATTGAGTTACATTCTCTGAAAGATTGAGTATCAAAGCAGAAAAGCTTTCAACTTTTACGTTTTCTTTTTAAAAAACTCGTTACACACATCTAAGATGACAACTCAAATAACTCAAACAAAAAACTTGTGGATGTTCAAGTAACTGAGAGAACTCATCTAAATTATTTATTGGATATCAACTGGTTCATCAACTTGTATCATACATATTGGTTAAACCAGTCCAAAAACCGGCACTGACATTGGTATACACCTAATTGGTCCGGTCCAAGGTCCATTGAATTCTCCCAAACTGGTTCCGGCTCCAAATCGGTTCCAGTTCAGTCCGGTCAAAGGACCATCCCTATGACATATGGACCAAAATTCAAAAAGATTTTAATTTTGGACTTAACACGGTAAAAAAAGAAAACACGTGGACTACTTTTTGAAATTTACTTTTTTTTTTAGTAAGTTAGGTTTTTGGTTCTTGAGTACAGGGGTTGATTGCAACTTTGGGCCCAAAAAAAAACATACAATTTTAGAACTACAAAATATAGTCTATAAGAGGATTTGAAGATGAGAGACACTTTTCACCAACATCTAATACACCAACATCTAATACTGTTAGACTATAAACCATTAGAATACAATTGTGGTTTTATTTAAAGTTTTTGTAATGTTTGTCTTTTTTCCAAATAAATATTTTTGATCGCTAAGTATAGTTGATTTATGCAATTTTGTTCCCAAAAATAATCATTTTATTTGGAACAAAAGAACTACAAAATCCTCACATAAGAGGACCTAAATTACAAAGAAAAACATCTAGAAATTGCAAAAATAAGTTATACCCAGGTACCAATAATATAAATTTTTTTTTTTCATTTTATCTGCAGAAACTTGTTGCACCAGGTGAAAGGGGTGGCAATATTGGCTTGGCTTGTAGTTAATTTTTCAAATAATTTTAAAACAAAAACTTTTGATTCCTCAAGACCTTGTCATCCTTAAGATTCATTACCGTTGATGATGATCATGATTTATGTATTAAGTCGTTCTTTCTGTTTTAAGCCAATAAAAAACACTCATATACAGCCTATCAACCTAACTTGTATCCCCAATCCTCATTAACTTGTCCCCTAATTGATTGTTTGATGGTGTTTTTAAGTTTTATTGGAGTTTGAGGATCAAGAATAAATCGTTGCGTTAAAGTATTGCCATGAGTACCAAAAAGAATGCATTATAAAGTGGTTGATTAGAACGAATAGACACCCAATTTGCCAAAAAGAAATAGCACTTGATCTTGATTAAAAATAAATGGATAGTACATAAACATATAAAGTCATAAAAGAGGAACAAACAAGACAAGTAAAACCAAAAAAAATCACGACAAAAAATCCAAAAACATCAATGAAACTAAGAATAATTGTCGTTTGAAAGCTAAAAATAAATTCAAACCCATTTCCAAGTTTCCTTCAACAAAAGCATCTCAAATCATCATATAAAATAAGAACACAATAAATTTTTAAGCAATTTTAAATAAAAACATCCATTCTTAAGCGGAACAACAACCAACTTTCTTAACAGCCGAAACATCATCCTTACTCCCAACATTAATCGTCTGTCCTTTAGGCAAACCCAAAGGATCATCCCCGGCATCAAGCGCCTTTCTACTCACCACATGATGTATTTGTGTCAACACTTCAGTAAAAGCCGTTTCAACATTCAACGCTTCAAGAGCCGATGTTTCCATAAAATATGTATTTTCCTTTTCCGCAAATGCCTTTGCCTCCTCTGTGGGGACCGCACGTAGGTGTCGAAGATCCGCCTTGTTTCCTACTAACATGATCACGATGTTTGAGTCTGTGTGGGCCCGGAGCTCTTTTAACCATCTTTCTACGTTCTCAAAGGTGATGTGGCGGGACGTGTCGTAGACTAGTAGGGCCCCCACTGCGCCACGGTAGTACGCGCTCGTGATTGCTCGGTACCTTAGAAAATAGTAATGTAGTTTCATTTATTTGTTTCTTGATTTTTTAATTTTTTATTATAGTGTGTCCTACTTTTATTTCTTCCTATTACATAATTGTAGGAATGAAAGTACACAGCGTACTTTCATTCCTTCAAACAGTTTACTGTGTACTGTACACTGTTTGAAAAAGAATTAGGTAGTAGGTTATTTTAGAGTATAATGTCTTAATAAGAAAAAATAATAACGTAACTTCTATTTATTTGTGTCTTGATTTTTAAAATTTTTATTATAGTGTGTCCTACTTTCATTTCTTCCTATTACATAATTGTAGGAATGAAAGTACAATGTACTTTCATTCCTTCAAACAGTGTACTAGACACTGTTTGAAGAAGAATTAGGTAGTAGGTTATTTTAGAGTATAATGTCTTGATAAGAAAAAATATCTTTCATTAACTTTGAAAAAGCTACTAATCATCAAAAGGTGTAACCATTTTTAATGTTATAATTGGTAGATTTATAAAAGTACAATGTTCAAATAAGAATAAATGTTGTAAAAGAAAGAAGTGAAAGTAGAATGCTATAATTAGATAGGTAAGGGTTTTTTAAGTATAATGTCCTAATAAGGAAAAAAAATGGAAGTACAATGGTGTAACAAAAAGAACAGAAAGTAAAATGCTTAAATGATGTGTATACTAAAAGATGAAAAGATCACTTAACTATTCCTTTAGTGTTAAGTAACCAACAAAAAATTCGATGCAACAAACGTGTCTACATGGTTCACTTTGCTAGCCTCAGAATGTGGTATGCATACAACTTCTAGAAGCTAAAATTGTTAAAACTTCATTGCCAGTAAAATGAAGAGCAAAAAATCAAAGAGATGATCATACTTAAACTGAAAACCAAAATTAAGATTCCAAAACTGGAGAAATATTTTCATTTATGTGTCAACAACTTGCTTCTAGAATCCAAAATGTAATGAAGAGGAAAACAAAGGAACCATTACAAAACTATAATCTTAAATATAATGTGGAGACTTTTACAAGAAAACTAAAATCGATTCAACGATTGACATGGAAAAGAAACATTTTTACTCACGAATACAAAAGAATCTCGAATTTTGGAACAAAGGGAGTGTGATCGGGAAGTGTGTACAAGAGTATGAGACAGCTTAGTTAGCTTATCAAAACCTTCGAAAACGATGAAGATATAAACCCTAGAAATATATGATAGATCGAGATCTTAGATCACTAGAGGTAAAAAAAAAAAGTAGATAATCAGATCTTAAAGTTCGGAGACCTTAAAATAAAAAGAAGAAGAAGAAAACATTCAATTTAAGAATCTCATACGACGGGGTATACAAGTATATTCTACATATGAATCCAAGATTCCAAACATTGAAACAAAAAACAGACTTGTAGACGGATACATAGATGAATAGTATACACAGATGCGAAAGTTCATGAGAGAAACGAACCTTTCTTGTCCAGCAGTATCCCAAATCTGAGCCTTGACAATTTTATCATCAACACGGATACTTCTGGTAGCGAATTCGACGCCGATAGTTGACTTGGATTCGAGATTGAACTCGTTCTTAGCAAATCTAGAAAGTAAGTTCGATTTACCGACACCAGAGTCTCCGATCAGAACTAACTTGAACAGATAATCGTAGTCATCGTCGGCTCTGTAAGCCGCCATGATTAGATACAGAAATGTAAAATTAACTTCGAATTTCAGTGTCTGAGGAACAATTTGAGATGAAACTACTCCGCTTCTACGATTATCAAGTCTTCTGTGGGTTTATCTGAAGATCACCGAAATCGTGTCGACAAGATTCACGAGAGAGAGAGAGAGAGAGAGAGAGAGAGAGAGAGAGGCGGGGACGCGTTTCGAAATTGAAGATTCAAGAGATAAATGTTTTGATTTTTGATTTTATTTCATTACATTGAAACGTTTCTTCTTTCTTTTACCGAGAAAATCAGGAAAAAAAACGCACATAAAAATAATGTATGATATTTGTAGGAGGATGGAGGATGGGTAAAATAATCAAACATGTAGGAATTGTACAAATATCTTAAAATAATTATGCAGATGCAGATGTTGAATTTAATTCTACGACCCAAATTCACAATCATCAATGTTACCCAACAATAATTCAAATATATAGTCATATTAAATAACTTATTGTTTTCACATACTTTCAATAATATTATGATTTTTGTATTTTGTACGGAAAAGAAAAAGCATCAAAACATATAGGTATTAACTAGTTGATCCAAATTGTATAATATCTTATAGTTTGGTTTTTAAAAGATAAAATATATACGGTCTGTGGGGCATATCTACATAAGAATAATGAATCAGACGTTTGGAATCTATAAGAAAATTATTGAGGGGCATATCTACATAAGAATAATGAATCAGACGTTTGGAATCTATAAGAAAATTATTGAGGGACTGTTTGGATTGATGTAATGTTGAGGAATGAAACTGAATTCTGCAGTAATTGAATTATGAAGGAATTGAATTCTGTTGTGCGTTTGGCTGCCAAATTTTGAGCTGTAATTGAAATCCATTCACATGTCTTTTTTTGTTTGGATTGATGATTTGTTGAATGAATTGGAATGAAATTCTGTCAAATGACAATAATACCCTTTATTTGTTTTTTTAATTGCTTAATAATTTACATAAAAAAATAGTTTTAAATAAACTAACAATCAAATTTAATACCGATTATAAACATATATAACCTAACAATCAAATATAACTTCCTTTCTAGAGCATTTTTCATACATCTTCCAAAATGATAAACCAAAATAAGTACATGTTAGATAAGTTTAGAACATAGATGATATACACGATATCACAACTTACAAAAAATGAGCAAAGTATCTCAAAATGATACACCAAAATACTATGTGGTACATATCATTCTTCCAATATAAGCTTCACAAAAGTTTCATGTTCTTCACATTCCAAGTTCCAAAAGGTCAACACTGCTTCTGGCTCGAGCATTATCTTTCGACTTGCTTTAAACTTATTGTAACACCCTGATTCCTAGATGTGGAACTGGAGGATTTACTGCAAGTTGAAGGGCCTACTCGACGAGTTGGTTGGCCCCAACTTGTCGTGTAAGAGTTGATCAGGACGCGTGGGTTAGTGTGACAACCCGAAATTTCTATCTTGTAAAGTCAATCAATTCAATCAAAAGTCAAACTTGTTTCTGTTATCTTTTAGCCTTGTTAAGGGTCTGTTTGAGAGTTCTAAGCCAAGTACACTCAAGGATTGTGTGTTAGGAAGTGTTAGCTTGAGTTCATTGAGTTGCAATCGAGCCGGAAACACCATAAAAAAGGAGTTCACGGCCACATCTAGGTTCACGGCCGTGAACATCCTTCATATATATAGAGTTGACTCATTCTTTCTTCACTTCTTCAACTCTAGCCATGAACAAATCCTTTCTCTCTTAACTATCTTCAACCGTGAACACTCTAAAGGCTTCCAAAACGTAAGTATCTCATCCATCATCTTGTTGTCCATTAGAAACAATTGATTCCACCCATGAAACAAACACTTATATGCAAGATCTTCAAGAGTTCACGACCATGAACCCTTCATATGGCTGTGAGCCCTTCTTAGATGCAAGGTTGGGCCGTGAACCCTCCATCCATGGCCGTAAACCCTTCATAGGATCAAGACTTGGGCCGTGAACACTTCAAGAGTTCTTGGCCGTGAACCCTTCTAAGGCCGTGAACACTCCTTGTTTGGCCGTGAACACCCTTCAATCAATCATATGTGATTCTAACACTCCATTTGAGAGTGTTTCCTAGTTCCTAAGATTGTTTCCCTTACATGTTAGTTGTTATATACACTAATTCTATACATATATGTGTCATTATATGCTTAATAGGATCCGTTTGTGCTCGAGACTTCACTTGGCATACTTAGCATCCTATATCGATCTTTCATTCGAATCACTCACTACAGGTGAGTTCATACCCCTACAAATACACTTTTAAATGCTTTTAGGGGGGAATACAAGTAGAACACGATGATATTGTGTTAACCATTTACATGTGAAAACAACATCCAAAAGGATTTCTTATACTCAAAACTTGTTAAAACTCTTTAAATCTTTTATAAACTTCTTTAATATCAAATCATATCCGTTTATCTATTTACGTATAAGTATGCTTTAACAGACTTAAGACTATTTCTAGATACCTTGACTCATGTTCCTTGTTTGGTTGTGGGCTTGGGGTAGGATCACTAGTCCGACTGTCGGTTAAATCATAGTTATACTTATTAAATACATATATGAATATTAAACCCATTTTTAAGGTACATACTTAACTTAGTTGCTTATGGTTAGTAATTAAGTCTTTTCTACAAATCAGTAACAGTCAAACAATCATACTAGTAAACTATAATATGTATAGTTAGAGGATTACTACTTACTATTTCTAGAACAGTGAAACTTACATGAATCAGTTCTTACAAGATTCAGTTCATACATGAGTCAGTTCAAACATACTATAACTAGAACAGGAAGGGACATACTATAACTAGAATAAAAAGGAACATACATACTATAACAAGAACACGATAACAATAATGTGAAACTACTACTTCACGGCATAGCAATATACTTGTTATGTCGCGTTTTGTAACCAGAGTCTCCTGGAGGGAGAGCAGACATTGTGTGTATAGATCTATACGGGACTGACAATCCCACATCCCAACTGTTAGCTACAGTCCGGCAAACAAGCCAAGGGGTGACAAATGTCACATTAGTTTCGACGCCAGCAGGTCGTCGTGTTAAATACTAGTCAATCAGCATGGTTATAACCACATCACATTTTAACCTTAATTAACAAATTGGTTTTAAGGTAGTTAGTGCTTCAGTAGTTATTTTATAAAACATTACTGTACACTTTCATTTTCCCATTACATTCATATAGTGATATTCTCACATAAAAGGTAATGCAAACTATTTTCTAGTAAAGATAGTCATAAACTTGGGAAAACATACATTTTTACAAAAGAACAAACATACAAAACAATCGGGTCTTGGTAGAAGACTACTTTCCATTTTAGTAGAAAATATAGGATTTTCTAGAAAGTATACAAACAATTACATCAAAACACTTACAAACGTTTTCATCAAACTAATGAAATCATTTGACACAAAAATACTTATGAACTCACCAGCTTTAATGTTGATCTACTATTTCAAAATAACTTGTATTC